GCTCACCATAGCCTCTTAAACCAGACCAGGGTTCATCCATCTTTGTTTTAACCTCTTCAGTTTGCTTACCTGGAGGATTTCATATTTCTTTACCTCAGCCTATCAAAAAATTTCTTCTTTCATCAGGTTGGGATCTACCTTCTTGCACTCCACCTAGTTTTCCCAGTTGTGCCATCTTCCGTGCCTGAATCCAGCTGTCAAGATCAAACCAAATCTTCTCCTTCTGTATTTGTTAGAAGTTGGTTTGGGTAGAGGGTTGGGGGCAGGGACACTAGGGGAAAAGTGGTAGATTGTTCCTGTTGGACAGCTAAAGTGAGAGAGAGATTTGACCTATGATCCTAATACCTATTCTACATATAACATAATATGAATGTGAAATCAGTGACTTGGAACAATCCTGTGGGCATTTCCATTTTTTGTAGTTTCCAAAATCTGATATTGTAAAGAAATTGTGCTATCATATTTCCTGTATGGCCCCTTTACTTTTGAGAAGTCAGTGTCAGCTTTAGACTAGATGGTTTGGTCAGTCTGTAAGAGAGAGGCTCAAGACCTCCAGAGCCCAGCCGAATACTGAGTGGGCTTCCCAGACTCAGGCCATACAGCCTTGACATTACTCAACTCCAGAGGCCACTACTCCCAGAGGCTAGAATGAGAAAGTKCCACTTGGAGTTATGCCCACAATAGTGCTGCCAAACCCTTTTCCTTAATTACCTTATCTATTATAAAGATCATTACCATGAGAGAGCCAGTCCTTTTAGTTAACCCAAACATTCTTCTTCTAAAAATGCTCTTAGACTCTATCAATCCTGCCCATGTAGGTAAAATCTCACCATCATTCTTAATGTTTGCTAGATTATTATTATTATTATTATTATTATTATCATTATTTCCATATTACATTTTTAAATTTGTCCTAATTAGTTATACATGACAGCAGAATGCATTTTGATTCATTGTATATAAATGGAGCACAACTTTTCATTTCTCTGGTTGTGCAAGATGTGAAATCACAACATATGTGCAGTCATATATGTACCTAGGGTAATGATATTCATCGCATTTCACCATCTTTCCTGCCCCCATCCCCACTCCCAGTCTCTCCCTCCCCTTTGCCCAATCAAAGTTCCTTCATTCTCCCCACGCCCACCCCCCAGCATTATGTATCAGCATCCACTTATCAGAGAAAACATTTGGCCTTTGGTTTTTGGGATTGGCTTACTTCAATTAACATGATATTCTCCAACTCCATCTATTTACCTGCAAATGCCATGATTTTATTCTCTTTTAATGCTAAGTAATATTCTATTGTGTATATATACCACGCTTTTTTTATYCATTCATCTGTTGAAGGACATCTAGGTTGCTTCCACAGTTTAGCTATTGTGAATTGAGTTGCTATGAATATTAATGTGGCTGTGTCATTATAGTATGCTGATTTTAAGTCCTTTGGGTATAGACCAAGGAATGAGATAGCTGGGTCAAATGGTGGTTCTATTCCAAGTTTTATAAGGAATCTCCGTACTGCTTTCCATAGTGGTTGCAACAATTTACAGTGCCACCAGCAATGTATGAGTGTACCTTTTTCTCCACATCTTTGCCAACACTTATTATTGCTTGTATTCTTAATAATTGCCATTCTGACTAGAGTTGAGATGAAATCTTAGATTTGGATTTTTAGAGATGAGAACATTTTTTCATATATTTGTTGGTCAATTGTATATCTTCTTCTGAGAAGTGTCTGTTCAGTTCCTTGACCTCTTTATTAATTTGGTTATTTGTTTTTTTGGTGTTAAGTTTTTTGAGTTCTTTAGACCAGAGACTCTGCATCTAATAGAAGAAGTAGGCCCAAATCTTCATCATATCAGATTAGGTTCTGACTTCCTTAACAAGACTTCTAATACACAAAAAATAAAATCAAGAATCAATAAATGGGATGGATTCCAACTAAAAAGCTTCTTCTCAGCAAAGGAAATAATCAGTAGCCTAAAGAGAATGCCCACAAAGTGGGAGAACATCTTTACTATACACACATCAGATAGAGCACTAATATCCAGAATATTTGCTGTTTTGATCTRTGACAGGCAGCTGCAGGTCAAATGTGGAAAATAAAGGCTAGTTAAGTTCAGCTAGTAGATTGCGGCATCTTGTGCTTACCATAGTTTTCTTCTATTGGTCTTTGGCCCTACAATTCACTCTGATCTGGTCATCTACTTGATCCAAATATATTTAGGGATTTCCACCATTGGAAGTATCCATCAAACCAGAATGGACATATACTTCATTCATTTTTTTCCTTCATTTAGCAAACATCGAGGATCTCCTTCAAGGTGGGAACTGGTTTGAGGAAATTGACAATGAGGATTACTTATGCGAATCACAAATAATTGTCATTAGAAATTTATAATGTATCATCCTAATTTTGTATTGTAAGTTGCAGAGAAAAAGGTAGTTAGGAATTTTAAATATTATCAGTTAATCCAAACATGGATAATTAAAAATAATTGTATTTTTTCTCCCCACAGATAGTTTTAATTTCCAGGAAAAAACATTCAGAAGTCAGGAGACCTTCTCAAGTGAACAACACAGCAGGTAGATGAAGATGCCCAGGGAGGACACAGAGGTCCCAGAGTGAGAGACAAATAGCCATCAAACTGGGGTACTCACCTCACCCTCATACCAGAGGGAGTCTGACCCTCTGCAAGAGACTCTTTTTTTTTCCATTATTTTTATTGGTGCATTATAATTGTGTGTAATGGTGGGGTTTGTTGTTTCATATTCAGACATGCACACAATATAATTTGGCCAAAATCATTCCCCAGTATTTCCCCTTTCCCTCTCCTCYTCCCTTCTCATGGTCCCTTTCCTCTATTGATCTCCCTTTGGTTTTCACAAGATCCCACAATCAACTTTCTTTTCCCTTTTCCTCTCTAGCTCTARTATATGAGAGAAAACATACAACTCTTGACCTTCTGAGTTTGGCTTATTTTGCTTAACATAATGTTCTCAAGTTCCATCTATTTCCCAATAATGACTTTTATTTTTCTTTATGGCTGAATAAAACTCTGTTGTGTATATATATTACACATTTGTGTATATATGTGTAACATATCTGTTGATGGATACGTAGGCTGGTTCTATAGTTTAGGTACTATGAATTGTGCTGCTATAAACATGGATAKACATGCATTGATGACTTTAATTTTTAGGATAAATAATGAGGAGTGGTATAGCTGAATCATATGTTGGTTCCATTTCTATTCTATTGAGGAACTGCCATACTGATTTCCATAGGGATTGCACTAATTTACAATCTCACTAACCTTGTATAAGTGTTGCTTTTTCTCCCTACCTCTCCTGCATATATTACTGTTTGTATTCTTGATGGCTACCATTCTTAATGGCTGCAATTCTGATTGGAGTGAGACAATCTCAGTTTAGTTTTTATTTATATTTCCCTAATTGCTAATGATGTTCGACATTTTTTATATATTTATTGGCCATTTGTATTTCTTCTTTTGAGACGTGTCTGTTTAGTTCATTTGTCCATTTATTAATTGGGTTATTTGAGGGGGGAGGGTGTTAAGTTTTTGAATTCTTTGTGTATTCTAAATATTAATCCTCTGTCAGAAGAATAGTTAGCAAATAATTTGTCCCATTTTAGTGATTCTCTCTGAACATTCTTATTTCCTTTGGGATGGCATCAAATTAAAAAGGCAATGTACAGCAACGAAGTGGGAACTCTTATAATCAGCCCAAAATTCAGAATGCCAGTTCTCTAAAGGGAAATTATTTCTTAAGCGTCAAGAATAATTTTATTTAAGCTTTCAAACATTGTATACAAAGCAGATTTTTTCAGCTATAAATCTGTCGATTTTTTTTGCTTCAGATGATATGAAAATGTGTATTTCCTAACCATGCACTTCCTGACTTTCTAATGCCTATCCCATCAATTTAAATTTTCATTTTCACCAGCTACTCTAGACATAGTTTCTCATTCCACTTACCTAACCTGCTACTCTACTGATTTCAAACAAACTATTAAAAAAAACCTGTATTCCTCATGAACTACCCATACTCACCTGTGCCAGCTATTCCTCTTTCAGTGCTGAGTGGCCTCTGCTTCCCTCCATTTATCAGCATGTTGACCAACCTTCAAGCCCCTCCTCAATTTTTACTGTTTTAGATCATTGTGGTTCAGGAATATCTGACCTCTTTTGACCTCAGGATGCCTTTAGAAAGTACATGTTAGTAGTCAGAGAGGTGAGCTCTAGTTTGGGTTCTATTTCTCATTAGCTGTGATACCATAAGTCATGTAATTTCTCTGATCATTAGTTTCCTCACCAGTAAAGAGAAGTAATTTTTGCCTTCCTGATAGAATTGTTATAGGATTGATGATGCTATATACAATAATATTTAAATATGCTATGAAATCGCATATTTTTTACAAAATTGAAATATACTACTAGAAGATGTATTATTACATATTGGTTTGTATCATTTTGTTTTATTTAACATTTATTTTGTTAGCTTACTATTTAGGCATAATGTTTCCCCATTTAGATTATGAAGTACTTAGGTTAGTTTTAGGTTTTGGGGATGTTTTATCTTTGTTTTTTGGTGGTTGTTTGTTTGTTTTTCTCAGTACCTGGATGGAACTCTGGGGTGCTCTACCATTGAGCTATATCCCCAGCCCTTTTTATTTTGAAACAGGGTCTTGCTAAGTTGCCCATCCCTGAACTTGCAGTCCTGCTGCCTCAGCCTCCTGAAGAGCTAGGATTACAGGCATGCACCAATGTGCCTGGCTGGCTTTAATTTTTTTAAATCCCTAATAGAGCATTGCAGTTATAGCTCTGTTTTCTGACTTATTAAATTTTATAGAGTAATAGAGTAATTAATTATACAGACACTTCCCGGGAAAAGTGGTTTTGAGACCTTGTAATGCCCCAACAAAAGTGACAGTTTTGTGGCCACTCTCAGTTCTTGATCTTCTCTCCATAAAGAACAGAGGAAGAGTTCCTAGAGCGAGTGAACAGGAAGCTGGCTCAGACCAGCCCCAAGAAAGACCTGTTGACCACAAAGCCCTGCCACTGTGAGGAAATCCTGAAACTAGTGCTCTCACCACTCACCCAGCACTGCTTGGTCGTTGGAGAAACCAACTGTGCATTTTATTACCTGCTGGAGGCTGCTGCTGCCTCCTTGGACCTGTCTGATAATTACATGGTGAGCAAGCTCAGCTCTCTACTCTTGAACTGAGCCTTTTTACTTTGGGAATTTGATTGAGAGTGCTTCCTGTCAAGTAGGAATAGAAAGTGGAAGAAAATGGGAGAGAGAGAAGCTGGAGGGATTTAGGAGAAGACATGAAATGGGAATGTGGTGAGAGAGAGCACTGACCCACACTGGCCCTGCCCTTGACTTGCACAGCAGGCTGGGCCCTCACTCTACCTCAAAATCCCAAACTTGATTCAAATTCAGATCTTGACCCTCATCCTAACCTTATCCAGCATCATCCTAACCTTACCCCCAGCACCATCCTAATCCTAATGCAGTTTCTTCATCCTTTGTTTGAAGGCTTTCTTTTATTTAAGGAAGGCAAGCAGTCTTCTGGGCCAACCCTCAGCATTCTYGTTCTTGAAAAAGCACAAAGTGAAGATTTGTCAGTTTGAGGAGGCCACTTTCTGCAGGCTTCGGTCAGAGGTGAGGATGAGCATAACCTTGAAGTTTTGTTTTTTCTAAGAGTTACCCTATTTTTTAAATTCCATCATGTCTTTTTTTTCTGTATGGTTGTAAATGTGATAATGTGATAAAAGTTGGATATATTTTATAGAATTATATGTTATATAGAAAATGAAATAGCCCCCACTCATCCCACATCACTCCCATCATAGTTAAAAATTTGATCTGTAGTCTGCCAACTATACACAATCATGTTATTTTTCAATTATATCATTTTAATAGGATCATATTCCATATTCTTTTTCTTCTGCAGCTAATTTTACTTTTCATAGTACAATTTATTCTACTTGCATATGTGCATACTTATTTATTCATCAAATAATTGCAACTGCCAAGTACTCCAAGTATATTGTATGGATAGAGCATAGTTTATTCCTTTTATTCATGTGAATTTATGTTGTCTCTAATTTGGGGGTTGAAAATTGGTGTAGTGAATATTCTTGTTACATCTCTCTCTTCCCTTTCTGTAGGAACTTCTTTGAGAAGTTCCCAAACGTAGAAATGCTAAGGCAGAAGATATGGACAATTTTACACTTACTAAATATATCACCAAATTGACCACCAAAACTATTATATAAATTTGAATTTTTCCCATTTCTTCATATTCTTAACAACATCAGATATTATCAGTCTTTTCTAAACTTGCTAATTCCTAGACAAGTTATATTGTGTTTTAATGTGTACCTCTTATTTATTAAGGTTCTTTGTTATGTTCATTGATTATTTCTGTTTATTTTCTGCGAATTATCCATTTATGTTCTTTGCCCTCTGGAGTAAATAAACTAATTTAAGATAAACATTAAGATAATCTGGTTATGAGCTTAAATATATAGGCCTTTGTAGATTAAAGAGAATATTAGAGTTTACCAGTGTTGCATTATTTTTGCTTCAATGAAGTGGTCTTTGGAGTAAAGTTAAACATTTTTTTCCTTTTATGGAAATAAATTATTTGTCATTTCTCCCAAGATTGTTCAAGAATCACATAAACTTCATCACTTTCTTGGGAGATTGAGCCTTAGAACATGAAGTTATAGGATAACCTCAAGGTAGTTTTGAAACCCAACACCTACATCCACATCTCTGGTAGTACAACCTATTTAAGAAGGAGAGATATAGGATTTTCTATAGATGCTTTCTGGCAGCTGAGAGTATCTGAGTCTCTGCCCAAATGATGATGCCATCTCAATCTAGCCAGCACCACTTTCTTTCAAACTGTCTCTACTGCCCACTGACAGATGTGTAGGCCATGAGAAAAGAAGGTGCTTTCTCCAGAATTCTGTTTTCTCACCCCTTTAATGCTTATTGCCCTCCTGGTCCTTGTTTTTGTGACTTCTGACCAGGCTGTTCTCCAACTCAGTTCACTCTAGCACCTCAGTGATTTCAGCTACGTACACATCTCCAAATGAAAGAGCCAGTATTTTGTATCCATAGCTGAATGTGGTGGCACATGTTTATAATCCCAGTGACTGGGGAGGCTTAGGCAGAAGGATTGCAAGTTTGAGGCCAGTCTCTGCAATTTAGTGAGAACCTATCTCAAAATAAAAAATAAAAGGGACTTGGAGATGTAGCTCAGTGGTACAGCACCCCTGGGTCCAATTCCCAGTACCAAAAACAAAACAAAACGTAGTCCATGGTATTCTTCCCACTTTTACACAAGTGTTTCTTATTTTGTCAACTCCAGGTCTGTTTCAAGATGGGACAGATCACCTTGGCCAAAAAATTAGCTAGGCAAGCCCTTCGACTGCTGAAAAGGAATTTCCCTTGGACCTGGATTGGTGTCTTTTTCCAAACATTTCTGGAAAAGTATTGGTATTCCTGTTTCCTGAGCCAGTCTCCAAATAATCCCAGTGAGAAGTRAGAAGACAGTCCAGATTGTCCTGGTTCCCTTTAGGGCTACAGAAAACCACAGCTAAAGTAGGACCCAGCCTAGAGCTTTTCTTATATTGATCTAAGTAAGAGTCCTCTTTTTCAAGTGACTTTCAAGCATATTATCAGAAAAGCATATAACAAGATCCATAATAGCAGAGCAGATAAGTATAACACTTCTAGGTCTCCCACCTTCTTCTCCCAGCTAATTAAGTATGACAAATAGCAAGTCAAAGAATGAGCCTTTTTAAAAAATCTCTTTCTGGACTTTTCTTGGTTTAGAGGGATGAATTAAAATGGTCCGTGGGGTTTGGAGCAGTGGAGTTCCAGGAACATTTCTGTGTTTGACAATCTGTAGATGGCCCCTAATGAGTAGACCTAGGWCTCTTGTGGGGAGGGAGAGTTGGGCATGATGAAGAATAAGGGTGTGCTGACTAACCACCYCGTGCTTCACAACAGTAAGAAGAAGCTGGCAGTTCTACAGCAACGGGTACATTGCCTCTCCTTGCTCTGGCAACTCTATAACCTGGAGGCCACAGCCAGTAGCCGCAGGTTTGCCTGCCTGGCCACTCTCATGCAGAAAAATTCAGCTGAGGAGTTTGCAAATGAAGCCCAGGTGAGCAATTCTTGGACTTCACTGAGAAACCTCAAGTGCTAGAAAGAAAGACCCTGCCAAGTTCCTGTTTTTAGCATCATTCCCCAACACCCCAGACTTAACGAGACACTATTGGTCATGTATTTGAGAAGGGCTTCTCAATTTGCAGTTTATAGAAGGATTTCCAGGTGTGGGACTATGTGGTATCACCCTGAACTGAAGGCAGAATTTTGTGTTATGTTCAAAATGACATTTCTTGGGTAGTAGGAGGGGGAAAGGTGATAGCTTTCTTCAGATTCTCCATGTCCCTGATCTAAAAAGGGATTAGAACTGCTGACTTAAGGGGGAAAAMATGGTGTATATTTTTCTAATTGTAGTTCCCATCTGTTTTTCTCTTTTACCTATTTATTCAACATATATTTGATGAAAACGTTATATGTCACATACTGAACTTGGCTCCAGGGAAACATGTAGTATGTTAAAATATAGTAACATATACTTTGTTAGGTGATGATAAGTGCAATGGCTAAAAATAAAGTGGAGATGGGGAGGCATGGGGTTCTGAGAGCAGGGGTTGCCTTTACTGAGCGGTGAGTACTGGGGATTGAACTCAGGGGCACTCACCCACTGAGCCACATCCCCAGCCCTATTTTGTATTTAGAGACAAGATCTCTCTGAGTTGCTTGGCACCTCACTTTTGCTGAGGCTGGCTTTAAACTCGTGATCCTCCTGCCTCAGCCTCCCAAACCACTGAGATTGTAGGCATGCACCACTGCACCCATTAGGTTGCCATTTTAAACAGGGTAGTCAGAGAATGTCTTGCTGATCAGGTGACATTACGGCAAAGAGCTGAAGGAGATGAGAAGCTAGGCTGTCTTGGGAAAGATTGTATAGGCAGAGGACACAATGAAAGCACAAGGCACATCCTCTGTGTGCAAGAAATGGTGAGGAGGCAAGTGTGACTGGAGGGGAGGGAGAGGAAGAGAGCCAACCAGGAGATGAGATCAGAGGGACTGGGGAAAGGCGGGATGGCAGATGGTGCAGGCCTTGTAGGCCAAAAATAGGGTTTGGCTTTTACTGTAAAAGAGATGGGAAGCTTTTTGGTGGGTTCTACACACACACACCAAAAAAAAGTGGGGGGCAGTACAAGGTTTAGTTTTAATAAGATCATTTTAGATGTTATGCCAAGAACAAACTGAAGAGGACAAAGGAGGAAGACCATTTCAGAGTCTGTTGGCAGTCATCTAGGCAAGAGATGGTGATAGCTAAGATTGTTACAGCAGCAGAAGGAGAAGGAAGAGTGATCTTTTGTCAAAATAAAATGAGCAAAATTTGCTCATGGATCTCTTATGGGATGGAAAAGAGAAGAGTCAAGGATAATTCCAAGATCTGCATCCTGCCCTTTAGAGGCATAGAGATGCTCTTCGTTTGGAGAGGGAAGTCTGCAGATTCAGTGGAAGATTAGGAGCTAGACTTTGGAGTTATTCAATTTCAAATGCCTGTTGGACATCCAGGTGGAGCTGTGGAGTAAGCAGTTGAATATATGAGTCTGAACATCATAGGACCTTTCTGAACTAGAAATGGAAATATGAAAGTCACAGTGTATAAATGCTATTTAAAGCTGTGAAGCTGGATGAGAACATCAAAGGGATAGGAGTAAGCATAGAAAAGAGGAAATCCAAGGACTGTGTTCATATAACTCCAATATTAGAGGTCAGGATGATAAGGGCTGGTTTAATAAAAGAAACTGAGAAGTTGCCAGAGAGACAAGAGAAAAACCAAAAGAGCATATGTCCTAGAAACCTTGGGAATACAGTATTTCAAGAAGAGAGCCACTAACATATCAAATGTGTACATAGTTAGTTGTAATAGAGATCTAAGCAGCTGTTCTGAAGAGCCATAAGGAGCAAGACTCAAAGGCCTTAAGTGGAGGGGAAAAAAAGGGGTGTTTCAATCAGTCTTGGATTGAAGGAGAAGAGGGGCATGTAGAGAAAGTGCTTAGTTTAAAGAACAGGCAGGGGGCATGATCAAATTAGAAGTGGAAGGGTAAAAGGAGCATGTTTTCGTAGGTGGAGTAGAAGAGTGTGGTAGCAACACCAGGAGTCCAGATTGAGAGCAATAAGGCACCATAGTAGGCCCTTAAACAGGAAAGAAGCCAAATGGAAATGTCACATGAATGGGCAATGGGAATTTGTTTATTACCCTACAGGTTGTCTCTACCTACGTGGACCTCTCCCAGTTCTCCCAGAACATGGGCGATAGGGAGAAGTGGCTGCACTGTGAACAGATAGCCATTCAGAAGAGTAGCCTGTGTTGGTTCTCCAGGGAAGGATTATTGGCTACAGCCCAGCTCATGCAGGCCTTGGCCTACACCAAGCTCTGCCTTGGCCATCTTGACTTCTCCATCAAGCTGGGTAATGGGATGTTGGGGCTGGTGGGCCCAGAGATTTCACAGAGTCCAGGTTCACAGTTAGACCTCATACAATGCTCTTTAACCTCCTTAGGTTTTCAAGCTCATGAGATATGCAGACAACTCAAGAAACCGGCTCTGGAGAATCTAGTTCTCTCAGTTCTCTTCAGATCTGCATTTCTGAAGAAGAAGTATTAAGATCATTTTCAGTTATTGTATTCATTGTATAAGAATGGGAGAGATGTCCTTCAAAGAAGTTGGGGGTGGAAATGGGAGACGCTTTTTCATTTCCACAGCCAGGGCTCTTTACCCTGACCCCTCCAAGAAGCATTATCTTAAGTGCAAGGTGTCAGGAGTGGAAATGCAGAGTGGAACTCCACTTGGACTTAGTGGGCAAACTTTGTTTCCCCACCCCCCATTTCCCTGCAGGGAAGTAGGGGATTACAACAGCTCGGGTTCCTTGAAACTGCCTCAGAGGCATTTCCCACCTCCTTTACCTAGAGAAAGGTCTGATCTCAGGCCTATGTTCTCTATATAAACAGAGCTCTGGAGAGGAGCTCTTGGGAGTGTTAGGTTCTTTGAGGTTAAGATCCCCTCCTTTCCTGCACCATCTTCCCCCACTCCCTAGCTGGTCCCAGTGGCTCTGTCTCTCGGCAGATATGATCTGTGTGTCCATGTGCTGGAGAGTCAGTGGGCGCTCATTTCCCAGGGTCATGATGTCCTCGGCCTGGCCTGCTTCTACTCTGCTTGCTTAGATCTGCTGTTGTATGGAAAAGGTAAATCTTGCACAGGGCTCTGCTGTATGCTTAAGGGATGCAAACGTCAGATGGGGCACTAGGTTTGGAACATAGGCAATATGAACCCATCCCTCGGGCATGCTCCCTTTTTTTCCTAAAGTCTGAGTTGTGCTTTAGAGGGTATCTGCTTTTCTGGTTTGTTTCCTCCCTGTACCACCCCTTCTATACCTCACTCTCTATGTTGACAATATATACTAGCCCGGTTACTCTCTCTGTCCACAGGATTGCTGTGTCGGCCCTTTGGCGAGTGTCTGTRTTTCATTCAACACTATGGGCACAGCTGTGTTCTAACTTCTCAAAGCAATGTCATGCTGGGGGTCCATTCCTCCCTGGCCATGTGGTAATGTCCCGCTGAGGATCTGTGGGAAAGGGTAGAATTCTAAGGTCCTCCTGAACTCATTTCRGCACCTCACCCCTCTAAGCAGGACAATTCAACATCTTACTTTTAAAGACCATTCACCACCCATCCCCTATATCTTACTAAAACAGTTCTTCTCGCCCTTTGCAGATTTGGGCCCATAAGTTGAGGGTTACATTTAAGAGCTAGAGTAACCCATGGCAAGGCTGATTATCATGGTCTGTCCCACAGCAAGGCTGATTATCATGGTCTGTTCTTTGGTCTCCTTGCGTGTGAGCTAGACTTCAACATTTTCCAGCACCATAATTCTGACTGGGTACCTCAGGGCCTTAAAGAAGTGACAGTTCATGAAAGAAACATGGTTTATAAACAGGGGGTAGAGTTGAGAGTTGTAACTCTTACCTTCTAGGTTTGCCCGGAACTCACAGTGGGACCTTTTTGAGCATCACTTCTCCAAGGCTTGCCGATTGGTGAAAAGAACCAATGCCTCACTATTTGGTTCACATGGCTTTGTGCGATTCCTAGAGTGCTGTGTGCTGATGTTACAGAAAATGCCAGAGGAGGTCTCTGGTCTTTCCCCAGAGACCCCCAGCCAAACCCTTCAGGTAGCTATTTCTCTTCTGTCATTCAGCTAACACCTAACTAATGTAAAAGTTCCTGCCACTTGCATCTCTCCACATTCTTCTCTCAYTGTCTCTGCCTCCCTTTTCTCCTTGAATACTTTGTTTATCCATCTAGAAAGTTGCTATCAACATCATGTACCTTCCTAGATATTTTTATATCTAGATTAGGACTTGGTTCCTTATATTTATGCCTTCACACAGCTACTACCCAATATCATTAAAATGTTAATACTTAGCCCTCCTCAGTGGGCTTACTCGGTGACTCAGTCTGTGATTAAACACATCTTTCTACAACCTTACCTTCTGAGTATAAGATACATTCCAAGTTACTGTATCCCAGAACCAATTTTCCAGACTTATTTTGCCATCAGTAACTCTTCTCTGTCCCCTAAGCCCTGAGTGAGTATGTTGAGTGAAGACTGTTGTATGTTCGGCTACAGTGGCGTGTAGGGGAAGAGGGCACTAATTCCAGAGCTAATGGATGGATCTTCCTTTTCTTTCAGTACTTTAAGGAGTTCTTCTCTCGGTGTGTGACCTGCCCTGTCTATCATGAGTGGGTCTCTGAGCTGAAGGCCTCTGTGATGAGGTGTGGAAAGAAAGAATCCATGACCTTGACTAACTCCATCAGACCTTTTGAGACCAGCTTCACCAGGATTTGGATAGAGGGAGAATTCCTAAAGAAAAACAACTGTTATGAAAAAAAAATTAGGAATACAGAGTAAGCATTCCTTCCTGGAACCCTTGTGTGAGAGACACAAAGAACAGCCTCAGATTCTTAGAAGCAGTCAAAGGCTAKACCTCTAATGTAAAAAAGGACACACAGATATAAGAAGTTAGTCTTTGTTCCAGAGATAAGTATAATCCTCTCCCTAGTGCTGGACCCAGCCCAGACAATTCTATTGTTATATGAAGAAATTGCTTCAATTGTTTTGGCATCTAAAACTCTTAGTCATAGAAAATTTTTCCTTGGACTTGGCTTAAATAACTGGTTTGTTTCTGTGGCTGGATGGTCACAAAGGGTAAAAAAGAAGGCCTTAAAATTCACAGAGTAACGTATGTGAAGATGTAGGCATGAAAAAGAAAGAAAGAATATAACTTTTGCCTCAGGGCCCTGCAGATCTCCTCCTTTCGAGGCTGGTTTGTGATATTTTTTATGTTCCTTCTTTCAGAATTTGACAGTGTGGCTGATGTCAAGGAGAATAAGGACACAGAAGAAACTCAAAGAATATATATGTTAAAACAAAAGAAAAATAACCTGATGGGACCAGGATTCTCATATTGCATATAATGCAAGGAAATGCCCTGAGTTCTCCGTGTTCACCATGTGCATGCTGAATAGACTAGCCTTCATAGTCACTGCAGCCTATGTCTTTGTCAAAATAAAAGCCTATGTTTCTAAAGCATGCACTGACATCTTCATTAACTCTTATAGTCATTACCACAATTGCAACAGAAGTGAGAACCAGAGGTAGGCTGGTGGGCTTTGAAATGAACCAGTTCTATCTTATATAAGGTAGGATCCACTAGCAGTTGGGAAACTGTACCCCTAATAAAGAGGTTGTCATTAGGGGGCTGGGGCTGGGGCTCAGTGGTAGAGTGCTTGCTTAGCATGCCTGAGGCACTGATTTCAATTCCCAGCACCACATTAAAAAAACTAAACAAAATTTAAAAATATAAAAAAGAGGTTGTCATTACTTCAGGAAGGCCAGCAGTGGGGTACTTGTGTGTTGTCTTCTTTTGATTGAGATTTGTCAGGGGGATCCAAAAAAGTCAAGGATTCTTTTGAGAGGTAAAGGAGGTGTAGGAGTCTGTTCCCTCTGTGCTTTGTTTTTT